TCCAGGCCAAGGTAGATGTGAAGGGGTGCTTAATTCATCGCTTCCTTTATTCCACACTTTCCTTCGGAGACATGTCAGCTGAAGCCCAGATCCAGAAGTGGGAGAGTTGGGTTAGTAGTGTAGTGGTTGTGACTAATAGTAGAAAACATATACAACTAAACTTTGGTACATGCTGGCAGTCTGACCTTTAGTAAGATACCTCTATAAAGTCTCCACAGCAGTAAAAAGACAATAATGACATAAGTACTCACTAAATGGATGCTGTTATTTATTAGATTCTGAACTAATCACTTAACCAAAATTTTTACATTCAGTTTTCATAATACTGTGCACTAATAAGACTGACACTCATTTTACAGATGAAGAAAACAAGGAGCAGAGAAATAAAGTGGTTCAAAGTCCCAGATACGTAGGGCTGGAACTACTACCAAGGCATACACCTTATTTTTAACGCTGGGCAGGAGATTATGTTGAGTGGAGGTCATATGATTGGAGTGTATAAAGTCAACTTGGCTGTATTTGTCCAGACAGGATTCAGTATTGCCTCTTACAACTGATGCCAAGTATTAAATGAGACAAAGACAAAGTGTTCAGCATTCTGCCTAATGTGTAGTGAACATTCAAATTCAACTGTTTTCATATCATTACCATCCTGAAGTTAGTCATTTCTCTTTCACCTCACAGGGACTGAACTGAGCCCTATTAAATGCAAATGACAGTACACAAAAGGTGAATCAGATAGTCTCTCTACCTTAAAGGACCTTGCATTCTGGCAAAGAATGTACTCCATGGGCTGACAGAGAAAGAAGTGGTGGGCTCCACTCACAGTGTCAGAAATGACTTTATCACTCCGTGTTGACACATGGATTGTTATTTTCCAGAAAGTCAACAACAAGAGGGCATGCCAAGTGAAGGAAAAAGCTTGAGCAAACTTTTAAAGATGTGTACAGTTGGGCACATTCAGGGAATTATGAAGAATTCAGAAGGACTACAGAGAAAGTATGAGAGGATAGACTGAGAGGAGAGTGACTCATCAGCAGCTCAAAATGCTAATGTTCATGGTTCATGCTTGAAGAATCTCATAAGATGGGGGATGTAGATGGAAAAGAATAGATGAGAAGGGTGTCAGGGCTCCATATGGTGTCTACCACACTGCCAGCTCTCAAAATGTGAACAAGAGCTATGTTTAAAATATACAGGCTGTGTTCTGTGCAACACTCCCCAGGGCAGCACAAACAGATGTTTCAGGAAAAAAAGAAAAACAAAATACCCAGTGGATCTCAATATAAAGCCTGTGTGGGGGCAGGCTGGCATCAGACTGCTTGCATGTGACTGTCCCATCAGTGCAGATCTGAGATTCAGTTTGGAATAGTGACACATGTGTTAATGTGGTGATGCTGGGGGTCTGAAGTGAAAGAACATTAACTCCCAAATAGAGCTTAGGGTTCCTCTTTACCAAAGCCAGCTTCACTTGTCCAATTTAAGACCCATGCTAGGGACAGTGAGAGTTCTGAAATGGAAAAACAGTAACACATTGAGATGTCTTAGAGTAGTAATTCAAGCATCTCTGCCAGCACATCTTCTCTGAGATGACGGTAACTGTGGAGTAGATGTCTGTAGAAGGGAAGACAGGGTCCTTGTTCTATTGCCTGGTTCCCTGACTATTTACTACCCAGTCCTATCCCTCCCCTTGCAATCAACAGTCTTGTTATGTCTCCCTGGGAAATGGAAAAGAAACCCATCCCCAACTATACTCCACCATATTACATATAATATATAACACACACATATACACATACACACACACATGTATATATACACAATATACTCCATACTATGAAAGTTTATGATGCAGTCAACAGGTCTAGACTGCAGAAACCTGCCCCTACTGGGAGGAAGGTTGTTGTATACAGCTGAAGAGATCCAGTTTACTTTCAGTCAGTCCAGAGGCTTTCCTGGGATGGCAGTTCAGTGCCATCAGATGAGAGCCTTAGTCTGGTCATCACTAGATAACCCAAACACATGAATACCCCAAACAGCAGAGTCAAATCTGAGAGGGGTAGGAACTGAAAACTGCAGTTTTTCATCCTTTGTATGTCCTACCCAATCTCAAGACTGAAGAAAAGCCCATTGCTCTGAACTCAACTGTCCTATACTGGAAAAACTAATAGATAACCAACATGATAGCAAGTGCAAAAACAGCCAAGGCCTTCACCAATTTTCAAAAGATCTTCTCCCATACACTTCTGAGTCTAAAGTCCCCATTAAAGTTGATTATTTAGTCTAAGGTACTCTACTTAAAAAGTTCTTTCTGAAGCCCTAGAGTTAAAATCAGTATATATTATAAGATGACAGGAGGCCACAGGACCACCATAAGCCACTTGAGCACAGCAGAGCTCCTGAATGAGCCAAATGTCATCACAGAAGTTGATGGGATGAGGTGGTAGAATGGTAGGCCTTGCTGGGGAAAGAAAACTGATAATCTTTGAAATATCAGAACTGGAGTGTTAAGTACAGGATGCTGAAAGGAGCAGATAAGGATTATTAAAGACATTTTTCTCTCTCCTTCCAGTTTTTCCTGAAACCAGCTCTCTATGATACCCAAATGACATAATCTTTTCAATATCATTTCTTCTATATGCAGAAGAACCTGTTTATGGGTCAGAACATTTATTTATGATACCTGGAAAGCAACTGCTCTCTATTGGCCTAATTACAGGCCCTATCAGAGAGGGTAGCCCAAATATCCCAAAGGACACTAGGGAAATATGCCCCTAAAAAATAAGTAAAGTCTAATCTGCATTTAAGATTGCCTAACTCATGGCTAGAGTCAACAATTTGGATGCCAGGGCTACCTGACATCAAAACTCTCAACTATACCTTTCAAAAAGACAGAGAGAAGCAGAAAGTGCACAGAGAAATCAAAGTCTGAATATAGTACTTCCACCGATCAACTGGGAAATTTACTCCTGTGGGCCTCAGTTTCCTTACTTCAAGTCCCAGGTTATGAAAGTAAAAGCACATTGCATATGAGAAATGCTAGCAAGTGTTTATTTTTCTCATGAAATAGTATGCAAGACAGTGCCACACACACATTAGACTTTTACTACATATGGCTCTGTTCCCTTTTTCCTCCTTGGATTGAATTTTAAGGCTCTCACATTTTGAGTTCTAATCAAATTCAGGTTTACAAAACAATAAATATATTAGTTGGCTCTTTTACACCAACCTGAGAAGTTAAAACAAAGTACATAGATATTTAGCTTTTCCAACTCACTCATTACTTGAAACACTGCATGGCAATATTCATTCTGCACAGCAGAAAAGGGTAGGAGGGAGGGAATGGTAACAAATAAATATTTCAGCAACTACATTGGGAGAAAAGATGAGAAAATTATTTTGAGAATTGCTTTTAAATTAAAAAACTATGTAAGAAAGAAAAAAAAAGATACAAAGAAGAGTGACAATTCTATATACACAAGTTTAAGTAAAGCCTACGGAATTAGCTGTTTCATGTTCAAATACAGAGAAAGCTATTTTCTTTCCCAAACTGTTTCTTCAGCTATCTCTTTCCTGGTCTGATTTCTGACAGTGCTGGGACCAATGCCTCTGAAGGCTAACCATATACCTCTTCCTGCCCACTAAAGAGGATGGGAAGATCAGACCTTAGAAATAGAATCAAACTAACCTTGGGGGTCTGGCAACTAGTCCTGGGAACTACTGTACTGGTCTATTTGAAAGGCAAGACGATCACCCACTTAGCTCTTGAGCAGAAATACTCCATGAATTCAACTGATATAACTCCTTACTAGAGGCTATATTTTCTTTCATTCCCCTTCCTTCCTCCCTGGAAAAGAGCAGTAATGGCACTGAAATCCATAGATAATCCTTAAATCTCTGTGACAGCTCCAGTTCTAAACTCCTCCTTCACAATGACAGTTTTAACAACTGTTAATAAGTCATAACAAGACCTCTCTTGCTCTAGTAAGGAATACAAATATTCTTTCTCTTTCCATCCCCAAATCATAACCAGCCTTAAAGTCTATGTCTTCCGAAAAGACTGTGTGGACTACTCCAGCCTTTAGGAACTATCATCTCACACCCTCAGGTTCCTGCTGGGGAACCACAGGGAACTCAGTGGTTAAACTATTCATGAGAAAGCAAAAGAACTGAAGGATACCAAAGACTTGTGAGCTAGAAAGTGGCTTGATCAAGAGAATATATACAAACACCTGCCAAAGAGGCAAGCTTGGCATAAAAACTGGCAAAGAATGGTGAAGTGAGTCATGTGCAAAGACAAGATAATAATTCAATGCAAAGACTAGAAAGTGGTACACAACAAGAGGAGTTATAAATGATGGCTGTGAACAGTGGTGAATACTGGAAGCATCTTTATAAAGTCCTGGCTTTGTGGTTTTAGATGAAGTGAGAAGGTTCAAGAGGGTCAAACAAGATTGGGTAAGAAGCACTTAATGTGAAATTAATTTGCCTGGCAATGATCACCTACTATTACAGGGTACTGGTGGTGATATTAACCTGGTATGAATATCTGGCTTTTCCTCTTCTAGATAGAGAGCTGCTGCTTGAGGGTATCTTTATTCATCACTTACAGCCTTGTTTGGCTATGTATCTAAGAAGATATGTGGAATGAAGATACAAGGGATCTGCATTTTCCTCTATCTCAATCACCTTCCCCTTGGGGAAGACATACTTAAAAGGTTAAAAAGAAAAAAGTGGGTAACAGTCTAGCTCCCCAGGTGATAGGGCTGTGATATAATGGATGATTAACTCTAGTTGTATCTCGGGTGCTCCTAAGGATGCCATTTCTGTTCATGGTGGTAAAACAGACACTGAAAAAAATGTACTAATTTTTTTAGTTTATTATCTGCCCTGTGTTTATTATCTTTGTTTTATCTTTGTTTCTGTCTTGCTTTGTGCTTTTACTGGTACCATTTAAGAACTCTGAGTTCACCACAATTCTCTGCTGATTATACTTCCAGAAACAATGGACCAAGGTGACAGAAGGTATGAGAGCAAGAGAGCAATCTTCAGAGCCACTCCTCCAGCTACCTGCCAGCTGCTCAGAGACCCATCATCGAGTCTTGCTCCCTCCTCCAGTCCCAAGGCCCACCAGCATAGCTTTCCCAGAGGTCAGCCACAAATTCACATTAAGGAACAAGCAGCCTGCTGGGAATATCTTTCCAGTGTCAAGCAACCATTAAAAGCACTTAAGGAAATCACAAAAGGGAGGTGAGAGAATACTTCAAGAACTATAAGATGGGGAGGGCAGAAGTAAATGCCCATTTCCTACCTTGGAGGAAAAAAACTTGACTTAAAAAGCTAAGTTGGTTCTAGAGAATGGATCAGCCTTTGGGAAACTGAAGAATACTATCTTCTAACCACTCTCCTGCTGGGGCCAAAATACTTTAGAGGATTGGGAAAATGTTTGCTAACACAGAGCAAAATGACATTTCAAGCAACTATATATTTCTAAAAATTTATTCAAGGCGAATTCATTATCATCAGTAATTACAGTCTTTTCTTTATCCAATGAAAACTGCATCTCTGTGAAGAAGGCATTTTGGTTCTGTTTTACAGATGTGGAAATAGGTTCAGAGAGGTGAATGACTTGATTGTTGCTAAAGTCTACATCTGATCAACTGTAAACCCATATTTTTACAGTGAAAGAAAGCTGGGTTGACTGTGAGTCCTTGCCAGCTCTGTATCACTCTGACTTGGTAATTAGTCAGAGTGTGAGCGTTCTGCAGAATGTGGTAGCTTCTTTGGTCCACCTGATATAAAGAAGCATCAACCCACCTATCTTAGTTGAATTAATACAAACTCTTTGATGGATCTTCGATCTCCTAGTTGTTAATAGCCACTGAAAAGAAAAGGAATGGAAACTGAGGTAGGGAAGGTCACTTCCCTCTGAGTTCTAGTATCCTCATCTGTAAAATGGGTCCAATAAAACCTTTTAACAGAGTAGTTGTGAACTAAATAGGAAACCATGTTAAAGTCTGTTGAGAGCCACAGCCAAGTCGGGATGGTGCCTGGCATTTTGCCAGAAGGAGTGGTTGAGAGGTGATGCCAGAGAGCCATTAAGATGATGATAATTAAGTTAAGCTGTGTATAATTGCTATAACTGGATGATGCTGTATTGAAACAGGTTGTGTATTCAGTTGTATCTAGACCCCTGCTGTCCAGCAATAGGGTGGCTCCTGCTGCCTTGGGCACCCGCTATTTTTTAGTTCTTGAGGAGCCCAGTGGAGGGCTGGGAGAGTTACCGGAGAGTGCGCGTGTGTGCCAGTGAGAGTTTGGACAATAAAGTAGTTCCTGTTTGAACCTATAAGTGCCTCGTGGTGGCTGGGTTATTTGTGCCCAGCCAGACTGCGGCAAAAGTCCTTAACATTATACCTAGCAAAAGATGGATACTTTATAAAGCAAATAATCTGGGTCCAGGAAATAGGACACCACATTCTCTCTGGGGCTGGTCCTCTTCTATATGATTCAGTCACCTAGAGAAGACTAGAAGCAGAGCTATTTAGAGACTAGAAATTGTACTATATACCCAGATGGCAGGGAACCTTGAATGCTTTAGGGGGCCAAAGACATATATAGGATGAATTAATGCAAATGGCTCTGCTTCTAGTTATACAGTCCCCTAAGGGCACATTTGTTAAGAACTCTTAAAATGGGTGGCTCTTAAAATGGATGGCTCTTAAAATGTGTTAGTTCAATGCATAGATAGTAGTGAAGTGAAGGAGAATCAGGCTGTTATTGTGTTGTTGTCCCTGTTCCTCACTATAAAGGCCAATCTCAATACCAAAAGGGTCTTGGAGAACAGAGATTTTTCTTGGATTTTGGTCTCCTGCAGTTGTATCACAAAGCTGTTCTGCCTTCTAGTCCTCTGTCCACAGAAACCTGAAGCCAGCACTGCAGGAGGCAACTTCTATTTGCATCCTCACTTCTTTATCCTTTTCAAACAGGCTTTCTAGGCTGAAGGAAGACTAACCCTGCCCAGGGCAAAAATAAATGTGCTTTAAATCACTGCTCCTGAGGAAATGGTGAACTGCAGAGCAGAGCGCCTAGATATGTAGTGCCTGAATGGTCTTACCCCCTGCTGTTTTCTTTTAGAGGATACAGCAGGCATCACTGCCATATGAATTCATAAAATTGGGAAATATAGGATTCAAAGATTCAATACAGAGTTAGAGTCATTTGCATTTTAACTAATCCCCCCAAACAGTATTTTTGATTCTATAAAATCTCCTATAAACGAGTAAACTTTTCAGTATAGGTCAAACATTAGGAACTTTCTAGCATGAATTAATAATGTCTTTAAGGTTACTGCACCAGTTTTATCTAGGCTTATACTTCTAGATAGATTTGGGAAAACTAGTTCTTCCAAGTATGTCTTTCCTATTTTGACATAAGTCAGGTGATGCACCATGTAAAAATTAAGGCTTGAGAGACTCAAAGAGGGAAAGGCACCCCCTATGAAACAGGAGAGATACTACAGATATCGAAATTGTACAAACTGAGTTCTTGATAGATTTTTAGCAGTAAAAACCTGGTGATAACTAAAATCATTTAAAGATAGGGATATTCTTCCCCAAGTCAAATTTTAGAAAGGATTTTGGCCTTTGGGCCATGGGTGGAAGCAAAACAAACACTTCCAGACCCCTTAACATATGTTTACTGTATGTACATGTGTATATAAATACATACACATAACTCATTCTAAATTCAGTTTGCAACCACTATTCTTGCTTTGATTTGCACTGTAATTACTGAGTCAGTAATTTTAAACTAAGTAGCCGATTTTTATTAAGGGACAACTTCTACATATTCAAAAGACTCAGCTGGAAAAGATATGAGATAGACATGTAGTATTTCACAGGAACTTAGGATATTTTTATATTCTGTAAACTATCACCCCTCCTTCTTTTTAATTTCCAGAATCCTTGAATGAGGACTCATAATATTAGGTCTCACAAGTTGTCTTCCAAATACCCTTTAACTGCTGAGATCCCAAGACTGAGAAAGACATATATAAATATACCATACCAAGAATCCCCTATAGACTGCCTGAATGTCTACATAGGCCTGGAGAGGTATTTCTTGAAACACAAGGCCATTTATTGGATAGTTGAGTACCCTAGCTCCTCTCCACAATCCAGAGTGTGAGAGTCTGACTACTACCATCTTCTACGGAATGAGCCAGCTCTCACCATAAAGATCAATTCTCATAACTAATCTCAATGCCAGCATATTCTGCTTCCAAGTGGAACTGTCTCACTCTTCACCCCAATACTGAAGGTTATGTCACTGTTGGCTAATGAACAAGGTGAATGTTACACTCAGCCTATCAGCACCCTTTTTTGCCTGTGTACATGAAGGCAAGAGGATTTTGGTGTGCCTCAATCCTGGATTCCTAAAGAAGTGGAGTTTTTCCTTCAACACAAAAATATGAGTACAATGTGTAGCTATTAAGTAGACCAAACCATTCACAAAGAAACCTGCTTGCATAGGTTTGCTAATATGCACAGCAAATTACCTTCAATATGCCCTTCCAGGAAAGGCCTAGCCTCTCATTTTAGGCATACAATTCATTCTGACCAAAACATTCTATCTGCTCCATGAATGCAAAAACATATGCACACACACAGGGTGTCCCTCATTTCCTCTGGAGTAATGGGAGCCTGGGCAATACTTGAAGCACTCATTTTCTAACATAAATTAGAATGGAGCACTGAAAACGCCAGTGACATCTGCACAGAAACAAAATGTATTCATTATAGTTGGTGCCATTACAATGAAGGAAATGCATTCATAATGGCAGGACATTTAAAATAATGTGTGGCTGGATTCTGTGTCCATAAAGGCAATAATGAAGAAAGAGGAGTGGGTCATGTAAATTAAAAGGAGTAACAGGGCATGGGGTGGCTTCAAGGGCTCTGGGCAATGTCAGTGAGATGGCACATTTCTGGATCCACAGGGGGAATTTTGATAATTAAAAGGCAGAAGAATCAAGAAGAGCATCAGGTTGGCATCATGGAGAACTATGGTTTGAACCCTGTATCTGTTGTAGGCTAGTTTTGTGATGCTGGGAAAATTATGTCAATATCTGCCTATACCTTAGATATGTTACTTGGATACATCTATAAAATAAGGAGAACCTACTCATCCCCTGGACTGCAGGAGAAGGAAATGAGGGAACATATATTAAGTACTTAGATGCATAACAGGCATATATGTAAAATCAATAACTTTTGTTATCACTATAGTGGAGATAATAAAACTCACTCTCCCCATCTCACAAGCTTATTACAAGGAGCAAATGAAATGATATGTGTGATGGATACTACTGAATGGTTGACTCAGGAGTTACCCCCCTAACTTATTCTCCTGGCTACCTTCTGCTATGGAGGGTTGAAGGGCTAAATATTTGTGTATCCAGCCTACACTGCAGTTAGAGGTAGCCATGTAGTTCAGTTCATGTATGATAGTGTAGAAGAAGAGGGTCTTCCAGTTTGGTGGTGATAGGGTTGAGGGGTGTGTTTCTTGGGAAAGTGCTTACTTTCCTATTAACAGAGACATGGCCCTTCTTTTGATACCCTATTTATACTTGAACATGGATATAATGCTACAGTCCCTTTACAATCATAAAGTAAGAAGTCCAGGAAATCTTAAGAGACACATGGCAGCCCTGACACACAGGAGCCACTGAACCATAGCCAGCAGTAGCCTTCCTCCAAATTTGTTCTGTGAAACAAACCAACCTTTATTTGTTTAAGCTACTGTAACCAGTTCTGTTATTGAAAGCTGAACATAATGCTAACTGATACAATGCATAAATACTCTGGAGAATTAAAAGCCCTATATATATTAAGTATGTGATCTTTTCTCTGCCAAGAATTTTATTCCCTTGGATCTAACTGGCTAATTTATATATGCCCTTTAAGACTGAGATTTAACAGTATCTCCTCTAGAAGTATCCTCCATATGATTACAATTCTCCCCACCCCTTAGACTTCTTAGAGCACTCTAAGACATCTCTACTGGTACATAATATATTCTTAATTTATTCTTTGTCTCTTAACCCTACTAGATTGTTAAAATGTCTCAGAAACAAAAATTCTTATTTTAGTAATTCAAAACATTTTCCACTACTTGACATACAACTAGATACAGTAGATAAATCATTAAAGATTTGTTGAAATACTGAACCAATAAAAGAATTATCTGAAAGGTCAATGATAGCCTGGATAGCCTTATTATTCGGTTTTATCTTTGAAACATAGCAAGCTGCTTTCTAATTCCTATTATTACTTTCGTAGACTCTAGGTTGGGAAAGCATAGGTCTAGGCAGTGATCTTATCATTTTAAAAGTTATTCCACTTTATCCCTATTTGCATTCACTACTCCCCAAATTATTTCATACCATATATTTAGTCTTTATACTCATCTATACAAAAATAATATTCTTTTGCTTTTATTTTAGCATTTTTGTTTTCTTCTTTGTTGTTCTGTGATGATCAAAGACATCTTGGGTAACCCACTTGATATCAAAACAAATGCTCATATCATCCAGCAGCTCCTTTCTGAGATGTCTGAATTCTATCAGTATAACAAGAAATCTGAAGGTTTCTGAATGACGCGACCATATCTGAGTCCTGACCATCCCAGTTGCAGTGAACAGTAACTGAGGCTAACGACATTACATCAAAAAAGAAAAAAAATGTCTAAAAGGTGAAGGGGTTTAATGTGGATCTGAACTCTGCCCTTTTCTATAATGCTGTCCACATCCATTTTTGGTTGATTCCTTTTTTCAGCCAGGTTTCACCTCAATATATATTACTTTGCCCATTTTGCACATCTTATTTACAATAGATTCCATTCTCCAGCCCTTTTGCCAATTTTCCCTGTTTAATTTTCTAAAAATCTGAAATTAGTTTGTTCATTTAGTGGTTTATTAATTT